CTTTCAGACAGCAGCGGTTGCAGGCGGCGGCAAAGGAGGGGTCGCGGCCAGGTGGCTGGCTCCCGACCCGGATTGGGCAAAAGCAGAATCAGCGACAGGTGACCCGTCCCCCCCCACCCATGACAGTTCAGAGAGGGAGCAGTCGATGGTCTGGCCCGTCTAAGAAGAGTCATGGGTGGTGGTGGAGAGGGCCATCAAGTGACAGCCGACTTAGGACATAGGGCAGGGTGTCAAACATGTGGCCCGGGGGCCAGATCAGGCCCCTGAAGGGCTTCTATCAGGCCCGCAGTGGAACTGGCTGTCTTCTGCTGCTTCTTTCAGTTCTGCTGCGGCTGCGTCACCGTAGGTTTGCAGCTTGCAGATACACACCTGAACAGCAGACTCAAGATTGCACAGACATTTTTATGCAACAATTCAGAGCAAGAGGTGTCAGCTATCAGACACTGCTAAATAAACACACTATTACAAGAGTGCTGATGTTTTGAGCATGTTTTTATTTTAAGTTAAAAAAACCCACCTTTGTGCTTGTGTCCTTTATAAAGTTTATATCTCCACTCCTGCTTCTTCTGCTGCTTCTTTCAGTTCTGCTGCGGCTGCGTCATCGTAGGTTTGCAGCTTGCAGATACACACCTGAACAGCAGACTCAAGATTGCTACGGCACAGACATTTTGATGCAATAATTCAGAGCAAGAGGTGTCAGCTATCAGACACTGCTAAATAAACACACTATTACAAGAGTGCTGCTGTTTTGAGCATGTTTTTATTTTAAGTAAAAAACCCCCACCTTTGTGCTTGTGTCCTTTATAAAGTTTATATCTCCGCTCCTGGCGTTACATTTTATGACACACCCGGCCCGGCCCAACAAGGTCTCATTTGTGTCAGATCCTGCCCTCATAACAAATGAGTTCGACACCCCTGACATAGGGCTTTCAAGGCAAGGGACATTTAGAGGGGTTTTTTTGCCATTGCCTGCCTCTGCGTAGCACATCTGGACTTCCTTGGTGGTCTCCCATCCAAGTATTAACCAGGGTTGATTCTGCTTAGTTTCGAGATCTGATGAGATCAAGCTATCGAGGGCTATCCAAGTCAGGGCATGGTTGCTATTGGTGCTGGATAGTATCATCGAGTCATACCTGACTTATGGCAACCCCTCGCCAGGCGTTTCAAGGCAAGGGACGAGCAGAGGTGGTTGGCCATTGTCTGCCTCTGCACAGTGACCCTGGACTTCCTCAGAGGTGGCACTGGTTATTGTCATCAATGTTCCCTCTAAGCTGTGAAGTCTTGTGAGCAAAAATTCCATTCCGTGAGCTACTGGCATTAAAGTTGTGAGTGAGTGATTGGGTTACTGCATAAACTAGTTTGCTCTGGAGCCATCCCTCCTGAGCTAAGACAAAAATGTGTGAGCCGGAGGCTAAAAAACGTTGAGCTAGCTCACCTTAACTCAGCTTAGAGGGAACAGTGATTGCCATACAAAGCACAGAGATGACTGTCAGTTGGCATAGCTTAAAGGCGCAGGAGAAGACTGCCAACCTACCATGCCTTTTCTCGCTCTGAGAAGTGTCGGATCCTTTCATTATAGAGGGCAAGACAGAGAGGCCAACTGCCTAAGGAAGGCGTGGGATTGCTTGTAGGCTCTAGAAGACGGTGACCTGCCTCAAGGGGAAGCTGTCTTTGGGTGGGGGCCACCTCCCGTCCTACCAGCCACCAACTACTTGCTGCCCACCAGGCAGGCAGTTCCCCCAGGCCCTTCTGAAAACAGTGTATGGACCACATGTGTCAAGTTTTTAAACTCTCCCGAGATACCTTCTGAAAACAGTGTATGGACCCCATATGTCAAGTGTCCAAACTCTCCCGAGATACCTTCTGAAAACAGTGTATGGACCCCATATGTCAAGTGTCCAAACTCTCCCGAGATACCTTCTGAAAACAGTGTATGGACCCCATATGTCAAGTGTCCAAACTCTCCCGAGATACCTTCTGAAAACAGTGTATGGACCCCATATGTCAAGTGTCCAAACTCTCCCGAGATACCTTCTGAAAACAGTGTATGGACCCCATATGTCAAGTGTCCAAACTCTCCCGAGATACCTTCTGAAAACAGTGTATGGACCACATGTGTCAAGTTTTTAAACTCTCCCGAGATACCTTCTGAAAACAGTGTATGGACCCCATATGTCAAGTGTCCAAACTCTCCAGAGATACCTTCTGAAAACAGTGTATGGACCCCATATGTCAAGTGTCCAAACTCTCCCGAGATACCTTCTGAAAACAGTGTATGGATCACATATGTCAAGTGTCCAAACTCTCCCGAGATACCTTCTGAAAACAGTGTATGGACCACATATGTCAAGTTTCCAAACTCTCCCGAGATACCTTCTGAAAACAGTGTATGGACCACATAGGTCAAGTGTCCAAACTCTCCCGAGATACCTTCTGAAAACAGTGTATGGGCCCCATATGTCAAGTGTCCAAACTCTCCCGAGATACCACCTGGTGAAGATTCATCCACTGTTTCTGGTGGCTGGCTGGTTGCTTATTGGGGTCCCCGAAATGGTGGTCAAACACTCACAAGGGAAAGGAATATCGTGCGTGGGTTCAGGTAGCCGTTCAGTCATGCACACGTTGCCATACTCTTTTTAGAGAGAACGAGGGCTGCAAAGGGGTAAGGAGGTGGTTCTCTGGGGGATGGCAGCGGCAGTGGTGGGGTGGGCCAAGGGGCAGCAGGTGGACGTGGCACTGGCGAGGCAGCTGCCTCTGATAGCGAAAGCCTCGAGCAACCACCAATTGTTGTGGCAGAGATTTGGTAGAGAGGTAGGGTTGCCGACCTCCAGGTGGGCCTGGAGATCTCCTGCTATTATGACTGATCTCCAGTCAATAGAGATCAGTTTTCCTGGAGAAAAGGGTAGCTTTGCAGGGTGGACTCTATGTAGGATTCCAGCCCCTCCCCCCTTGGGAGAAGGGGAACCCACATTTTCTCAGGCTTTTGCCCACCACCAGTCAGCTGGCCGGCAGGGGATAACCCTGCTCCCAACTGATCTTTTCAGATCTACTTCTCGTTTTGACCCTACTTCCAGTTTCAGCCTTACTTCTGGCTGGAGGGGGGGGGGTGACGCTCTGGTTTTTGGGCAAAACTCTATGGTTTGAAGCTGAATTTACCATAGAGTTTTGCCCCCAAACCAGAGTGTCACCCCAACCCAAAGTAGTCCCAAAACTGGAAGTATGCCTGAGAATGCCCAACATCACTTCCTCCAGTCTCCTGGAAGGATGTTGGGAGACCCCCGCTGGCCAGGTAAATGGACCTGCCAACCCTAACTCTATTCAACGATGTTCACTACCCAAGTCGTACCTCGTCCTGAAGCGGGGGACTCCTGGGTCGATCCTGGAGCGTGCATGCACGCGCGCGCCGCATCCACATCACCAGAAAGTGACGCAACCACGCCGGGCACGTTGGGGGTGGGGCCACGACAATCCGAGGGAAAACCATAGAGTTTTCCTTCGGATGACCATGGCCCCGCCCCCAGCGTGCCCGGCGTAGTCGCGTCATTTCTTGGTGATGTGCACGTCGGGGTGGAGTTCCCCCCGGGGCCCGATCCGGCGGTGGCGGTGAATGGGCCTCTGGGGCGGGGGGTTCCCCACCCCCCGGGGGGGCTTGGCAAGCCTACTACCCTGTTAAAATAGTAATAGAAGGCAAAAACAAGTGTAGTTAACAGACTCACCAATTACAACTTGCCAAAAAGCTGAGGAACATGTAATAGAAAATAATGTATACAAAGTAGCTACAGTGAAAAAGTACAAAATGTAAACCATAGAGAGCTGGTATGTGTTACAATGCTTAAACAATGGAGAACTACTAAATAATTCGACATTGTGTCCGGATGTTTCATAACAATGTTTCGAAGTTCATCCTTCATCAGGATGTTCCCTTTAAGCTGCTGTGGTTTTCATACTCTTACTGACATGCATTGGGAACAGTAACAATTCAATACAAAATCGGACGCCAATCTCCAACATGTAATCAGCTTCAATAGCTCCAGACTTGCAGTGGGACCAGCTGCTTTGAAGGGTGGACTTTAAGCAGGGCCGGATTTAGACTTGCTGAGTCCCTAAGCTATACAAAACCCAGAGGCCCCCTACTGTTTTAAATTACATCAGCTGGTCTCAGAAAAATTTAAAATATATACACCTTTTTAATATTTGAAATCATTTTTATATTGTGTTTTTATTTGAGGCTCCAGCAGATTGCGAGGCCCTAAGCTGTAGCTTATTTAGCTTATGCATAAATCCGGCACTGACTTTAAGGCATTGGGCCATGCTGAGGTCACTCGCCTCCTCAAACCCCGCCCTCTCCCAGGTCCACCTCCAAAGCCTCCAGGTATTTTCCATCCCACACCTGGCAACCCTAGTGAACTTTCAAATACAGCATACTACTCCATATAAATTCTGAAGTATTTCAATCCTAGGAAGGCTGTATCATATCTTTTTTTCTGAACACTTAGACAATCCCAAGCTTATCATTTTGATGAGCTACCCTAGTGACTCCTTCTCCCCTTCTCCACTGGATGAAATAAAAATTTCTATTTGCTCTCCAGTTAAAGTTGGGAAAGTTTTGGGAAAGAAG